TCTCTGTCGAACGAGGATTCCTGCAAGCGATAAGTCGAATTCCCATCCGGGATGAGCGATAATCTCGTGGATGGTTTGGGCTGGTATCGGTTCGAGTTACGATCGTCTCGCGATTTAACACGAGCCCGATCGTGATTTTAACATTTATTTCGAGCACGTTCCGCTGGTGTAATCGAAGGAAACTCGTGCAGTTTAATACACCTACGGTCACGTACACACCGAGTCTGACAACACGTGCCGTGTTCTACTTGCATGATCCGTCGCGATCGCTCTCGGCCGCGCGAGATCTGCATTTAATCGCGACGTTAACTTTTACCGCCACCTTTCCTTTGTTCTTTTTCTTCTTCTTCTTCTTCTTCTTCTTCTTCTTCTCCTCCTTCTCGAAAGGTGTTTCGAAAGAAAGGGAATGAACTAAAAAAAAAAAAAATTCGCCCGATTTCGAACGAGCGGTTCGAAAGAAGACGACGCGTCGATCGAGCAAAAGGAAGGAGACGAAATCATGAGACAACATCGTTTCACGGCCGATTCGTTAAATTTCATCAACATCTTTCTTTTCCTTTTTTCAATTCATCGATTCGAGCGAGCACGCGGCGCTAATCAGCCGTCAAAACGGTGGTAATAACTGGAGCGGGAAAGAGAGCGGGCAATTATTATTAATTACAGCGTGCAGCCGGGGGGAGAAGATTGACAGCTTCCATATTTAAACTGAAATCCCCTCGTTATGTAATCGCGCGAGCCGGCCAGCTTCCATTACACACGCACACACGTACGTACGTACGTACGCCACGCTGACAACACGTGCCGCCACACTCGCGCCGCATGATTTGCGTTACGTGCAAAGATTTGCCTTTTCAGCGGTGTATATCCGTGGTTGCTCTCCCTCGCTTTCGTGTCCGCAAATAGGAGGCCGCCTCAAACTTTCACCCGGCGTGCCAGGGGGGAAAAAATCCCCGTGGTGGGGATCCCCCGTAAAAATCTTTTTTTTTTTTTTCTCCCCCTTTCCGATCGATCGAGGAGGTAAAAAGAGGAAAAGAGGGGAAAAAGGAGCTATGCGCTCTAGGATTTTAACAGCCTTGCTTGCTCCCCCCGAAATTAATTACCTCCTCCATCTCCGGATTTCGAAACTTGTAATTAAGTCGGCCCGGCACGCGTACGTATATGCACGCTCGAATCGTCGTCTTATTACCCGCTCCTCCTCCTCCTCCTTCACCGTGCTCGAAATAAGCGGAAAGGGGACGCGTCGATGTGTAACGCAACCGCGGTTGGATAATTGGGATGTTACACCTCCGGATCTGCTCGGCGAGACAAAGAATCGAACCATCGATGATCCTCTTTCCTCCCTCTTTGCGCGCAACGACGGGCTTTAATTATCTTTTACGATGACGCACGCCGTAAGCGCGTAGTAAAAGCGCCACTCTTTGATCCATTCCGATCTTTCGAAATTTATTAAAATTGGCCGGTTTGTCGTCCTCTCCAACCCACTCGAACAATCCTCGGAAAGGAGGAGACTCGAGTTAACCGTCGAAAAATGAGAGAGAGAGAATTCTAGCCTAACCCTATCGAAGAATATACACGCACACGGTCTTGCATTGCAGGAAAAGCATAGATCGTTTCGACGAGTGTAATTATCGGGACGAGTCGATTATTTAAACACGCGAAACGTTTGGAAACACGGCTGGAGGCAATCGATCTATGATCCTATCCCCTCCTCTTATCCTACGATTTACAATCGAGGGGAGAGCTGCTTCCCTTGGAATAGTTCGCGACCTCGACACGACGTGTCGACGCAACGTTTATGGCTTCCCCCCTTTCCTTTCTTTTTCAATATATATATATACTTTTAATACCGGCTGATTTATCATCCTCGTGTCTGCTCGTGGGCGGCGAGATGGGAAAGAGGGGAAAGAGGGCGCATCGAGGTGTCGTGACACGAGGGGAAAGCGACGGGTTGGAAACGCTTCCGCGAACGAATTCCTGCGAACGTTGGCGGCGTTTTGCGAGAGATGATGCGCGTGAACCTCGCGTGAATCACGTGGTGCGTGTACCGCACGGGATAGCTCGGCCGAGAATAAACACGGGGGAATATTGGTATAATATGTAGATCTAAGCGTGTACGTGGGTCGTCGGTAATGCCCTCGTAAATCAAGCCCCCCATTGTTTTCCCTCATCGAACAACGAGCCGCGGCTCGCCGCACGGTAGTCCCCCTCGCATTCCATATTTCTGTACAGCAGGAGCAGGAGGTGGGTGAAATTTTACAATTGCTCATTTCACCGATTGTTCTTCGAACCGCGACGAAAATCGGACACGAATCCGATCGATTCGTTGAGTCGATGATGCCAAGAACGTATGTGCCTGATTCGTGATCCTCACAATCCTCGAAAAGAATCGAGTTGATCAACCAGCTTCTCTCTCTCTCTCTCTCTCGAAGACGAAGTTGGAGAGAGCGGAGATTTACGACAAGACGAATTTCACGGAGGATGTATATAAATATAGGTGCGCTATCGCGACCACATCGGTTTCAACAATCGAAAACGTGAATGATCGGGGAGGGGCGAAGATTGGGGGCGAGATGGGATTAACGGGGATTGCCCTTTCGAATTGCGTCCGTTGGAGAGCTCTCTGGCGGTAATCAGCCCGGTTCCACGATTAATGTTATAAATATTCCGCTAATGCCCGTTCCGTTACGCAACCGTTTCACCTCCTTATTGCCGCCAGCTGCATACGGAGAACGGCCTCTCGCGGCAATCTCGCGTACGTCGATGATTTCATACGTTATTTCGAACTGGCTGCCTCTCGCACCCACCCACAGGGGCTGACAGAGGAGACGACCAGAGTGGTATCCTCTCTTTTGTCTCCACTCTCTCTCTCTCTCTCTCTCTCTCTCTGTCGATCGCCATTAAACGCGCGTTGCGTGGGAAAACGGAGCGCGATCGGTTTGTTAAACGGCGTGTAGTTCATAATAATTAAGAGTGGCCTCTCTCGAGCGCTCGTTAATTAATACGAATTTTCCTGCAACGGTTTCGTTCCCTTTTTTCTTACGGAGAGCTCGTTTGCATTCAATCGAGTTATCGGGTTGACGTCGAATTTCGTATTCGGAGGGTGTAACGCTGATGAAATTATGAATTTTATCGATTCTCGCGATACAATAACCGAGCCGAAGTTCTTCCCGATATATGGATATATCGGGAAGTGGTGGTGGATATAATCGATTTGTTGTGGAGCACGAGCGCCGGCTATATTTGGATCGTTAATATCCGTGTCCAAAGGAGCCGATTCAATTTCAAGCCGCAATCTCGCCGCATTACGGAAAATACGGGAGAAATCTAGCGGCGAAAGTAAACGTAACGGCGAGGTTACCGTTCCAACTGGCCAATACGTAATAATGCAATATGTAATAATAATGATAATGATGATAATAATAATAACAACAACAAGAGGATAATAACGCATCGAAGAAGAATACGCGCGTTCTCGCCCATTGGCCTGTGGAAGGACGAATCCTGAGTTCAACGAAGGATCGTCCATGGCGAAGGATCGAAACGCCACGACGGGTTATATCGTCCATGAGATAAGATCGATCAATTTGATTCTCGCATTCGTTACGTAAAGAAAGCCGTTTACCTAATTTCTGACGTTTTACTTAATTTTATGGGAGGAGGGGGGGGGAGGGATTGCAGGGAGGAGAGTTGCGCAACGACGTTATCTCACGACGTTGTTCCTCCTCCTCCAGTATCCCAGATAATAACGATCCGTGGTAGACGGACGTAGACTTCTCGAGATGTTGCGCATCGTTAAAAGATAACACTCGATTTTCTTTACATCTATCGACGCCCGTACACGCTTCTAGATCTCGAGTTTACGTAAGATTTCTAAGAGATCCGCGTGTCATAAATGTAAAATGTGTACACCGTTTCGATCGGTGAACGAGCGGGAGAAAGCGAGAGGATGGGACGTGAAGGAAAATTCGAACGACTATCGATCGACTCGATTTACCCGATCGAAATAGGCGAACCTTGTCGATCGATGTTCCATCTACGCGACAGAAAAATTTGCGCAATCTCTGTGTACACACACACGCACGCACACACACACACATATATATTTCTCGCGTTTGGGAATTCGCTTCGAAGAAGCGATTTAACGTTGACACCGTCGAGATGCCATCTTAATTATTCCACGAGGGGCCTATCACCGTTCCGCGCCGACCTTTTCTTCGTTTCCACTCGAAATGACTGGTATAATTGATCCATTAGAGCACCCCTGCTGTTTCCTGGCCGCCGCCACGCCGCCGAGTCGCTTAATCGTGTCGCAGAATGCAATTCTCCGCGAGGTGTTCGCATCGATTCGCGTCGGCGCCGCCGGAAAATTGCGCCCGACACGAGCGGCAACACTCGCGTTTCCATCGGTGAGCCCCCCCGTTTATATTCGAGATTGTATTCGCGCTTCAACTACTACTACGACGACGACGACGAGGAAAGTTTTTCCAAACGGACGGGGAGGGGAAGATAAAAAGGAAGGAAAATATCGCGTAGTCGTAAAACCGAACGGAATGCGCGTTGCGATTTTTACACTCGTTACGCTGATGGAACGATAAAAAATTTTATCTCCGCGTTGGATGTGTCTGTCTAACGGAAGTTGGTTTATCGGTTGGCATTTTATTGAAATACCTTTTGTCTCGATAAAAAGGTTTTCCGCTTCTGTCGCGCAAAAAGGACGAAATTTTGCTCGTCTTTGATCGAATTTTAATGCAACGTATTCGCGATTCAGCGAGTATGAAGTGGCAAAATTGCGAGATTTTCGTAGGGCGAGGATTACGATCGTAACCTCCCTCCTTCCTTCCATTGTTCTCCCGGGCTAATTTTCTGCGAGGAGCAATTTGGCGTTTCCAACGGGGCCCATTACGATTGGACGTATATAATAGCGTCTCATCAACCGGCTGACCGCCTATCACCTTTATACCTTCGTTTTGTCTAATTACAGGTCACGTTTATTGTTTCAGGATGAGAGCGAGCTCTCGAGCAAGCGGTGGGCCAGCGCGCCCCGCCGCCCGGACAGCCCCTGCGTCCTGGGGGCACCAACGTCTAGGGAGGTACGTCGCCTTTTCTTCCTACATTCCTCCCATCATCCTTACCTCCCATCATTTCGCATTCCCAAACCTCGAGCAAACGACAATCGACAAAAGGGGATGGATAATGGTGAATCGAATTAATCAACGAAACGTTTTACTCATCGTCGTAATTCAACTCGAACCTAAGTGATTTTTGCTTTATCTCGAGAAATCCTCTCAATTCCGATACGAATCTCTCTCTCTCTCTCTCTCCATCATGCCGTAGCCACGTCGTACCTCGACCTTCCCACGACGGCCGCCAATTTTTTTCCACCCGGTATCTCCATTTGTTTACGCTGCTGAAAGAGGAGGAGGAGGAGGAGGAGGAGGTTGGCGTCGATCGAATCGCGGGAAGCGCGTGTCGATTGGCCGCGAATGGAAACCCGCTCGACTCCGCTCGCTACGTGATGGCACCCGAATCGTGAATGCCGGCCTCGTGTGTCGGCAACACCAACATCAACATACTTATATATATGTGTGTGTGTGTGTGTGTGTGTGTGTGTGGGCTGCTAACAGGGCTACGTCAGGGTTGTGCGCGGCAAGAAGCGCGGTATGTCGGCACGTCACTCCCGGAAGGACGATTAGCGGCGCGCAATCGCGAGTCGAGGTGTCGATTTAGGTACAAGGTGATCGTACAAGGACTTGGAGCGCGCCAATGAACCTCGCTTCGAACCGGGATACCTCGACGCTTTCTTGCGCCAATTTCGTCCCGTCCCCTTTTTTCTCTCCTGTCGAGGGATTGGAAACGAAGTTTCGTCCCACGAGAGGGATATCGATACAAAAAGAATCGCTCATCGAGCCTGTATCCCTCGTCTCCACCGAGGAGAATACCACGAGAGGAGTACTATATACCCGGGGCGATAAGGTAAGGGTGGAATTTAACGAGTCCTCGAATCAAAGGGAATTATTTCCGTTGATCTAAAGCGTCGTTATGGAAAATCGCCTCGGGGAGGGGGGTTAGATTACCAGAGGGGGGTGGAAGAGCGCATTATACGCGAGAGAGGTAGAATATTGATAGGCGAGAGCGAGTAATAAGCGCGAAGGAGGATGATGGGCTTATTCGTACGTACGAATGGCGCCACCCACAGGGTCGCTCGTGATGGGTGTGACTCGTGTCGGTATGCGTATAATATATATATATATATATATATATAGGTGGGGAATACCGCGTTCTCGCAAAAGGTAGCACCGGGACGCTGTAATAATAATACGCGTCCGTCTAACCGGTGGCTCGTAAAACGCGCGTGATTAGACTGGGAGACAATGGGGGACGAGTAGCACGCGCGTATCGTGGCAGGCAGGCGCATTGTGCGTTTTTTAAACGCGTCCACTCCTCCGTTTATTTGCATACCGGTATAAGTTGGTTGTGGAGCCTCGTGGTCGGGAAGCATTCGTGGTAACAGTGATCGTTTGAAACGGGCTGTCGCGTACCATCTGCCGCGGCGACAACGTTTCTAACCCGCGTGCTTGTCCTACACGTACAGCGGAGGCCCCGTGAACGTCTCGCGTTAAATCCTCGTTGCCTGAGAAATCGCGATTTGATGGTGAATGGCTGGCTGGCTGGCTGGCTGGTTGGCTGGCCTGTCGTCGAGGTAGCTGTAAAACTGTGGCTTCTTCTTCTTCTTCTTCTTCTTCTTCTTCTTCTTCTTCTCTTCTTCTTCTTCTTCTCCGTGAAGGAGGCAGCATCCAGGCCATCCGTGCGTGGAATATGCGCCGATATACACCTGTATACCGATGATACCGAGCAGCGGCCGAGATTCTCGAGTTTAGAGATTGGAAGAGAGAGAGAGAGAGAACTCGTGATCGATTCGATTCGCTTCTCATTAACGATTCTTTCTTCGTTCCGTTTCGTTATTCGCCGTGTCGGAGTGTAAGGGATGAGAGGGAGAGGGGGTCAACGGTGGTCGTGTGTATATTTGCCTGGTCGTAACACACGGTGTTGCATCGCGGGTACAGTTCAATTCCGTTACGTGGACGTAGCCGCGGGCTTCCCACGCCAATTAAACATGACTCATTAACGGGCAGAAGCCGGTAGCCGAGGATCGATGGCTGGGCCGAAGCCGGCCAACCCTTCTATAACTCGGCGCAGCCACACGGCTCCAATCGGAACCAATCTCGACCTCTCTATCCTCTCGCGACCGGGTAAACTCGAGTTCGCCAGCCACCGCATAATCGTAAGCGTAAACATTGGACGTTCCTTCAGCGTTCCTTCCTTTTCTCCGAGATTTTAATCGACGAACGAACGAACGTTTTTAATTTACTCTCTCTCTCTCTCTCTCTCTCTCTCTCTCTCT